CTACAGTCCTGCAGACCTTTGTCAGATTAGTATGTACTGCTGGGACTCAACACCTACAGAGAAAATACAGGGTTGTGCTCCACATTGTGGGCACTGTCTGCACGATGGTGCTGACTCACAGTACCCTTTGAAGTCCTTGGGACCCGTATCAATGGACACTACGAAGCAAACCCTACATGCCAATTTCCATCATTCCCCAAGTACTTCAAAAAGATAAGGCAGGGCAGGAAGTTCAAAAGAATGTGCCCACAACTGTGCCACCTGCAATCTGGAAATTATAGGACACACAGGGCAGGTGCCTCTGCAAATGCCTCCTTCCTGCCACGAAGTCCCTGCCGAGGAGTAATAGGAATTTCCAGTTCTCTAAGCATTTCTTGTTCCTCAGAGCTATTAGCCTGAAATTTTGAGCACTTAAAAAGGAATACAGGATTTAGCACCTGTTTGTTTCAGAAATACTTGCTAAAAACAGATCTGCCAAAAGGCCACCTCTAAAATTAGTCATATTTCCTGCTCCGCAGAACATAGTAAAGAGTAATTTTAGTAACTTCTTCCCTCCAGGTATCTGGCACTGTTGCGTTCTGTGCGTGATTACTGGCAACTTACTAACCAGGCAAGTCTTATTTTTAGCCCCAGAATAGCTCTAATGAAAGTGATAAATGAGATTTTAAAAAAAGACACCAAAGGTTAGAAGAAGATATTTAAACGTCTTAACTGATCATTTAATGTACTCAACTTTGTCTCTATCACAGAAGGCAGTGGTGGCACCAGCTAGCTCGCCTGCTGTAACATGCCTGCAAAGTTACAGTATAACTTGCCTACGAAGCCAGCGCTGCACCTGAGTACACTGGAACTTTGCTCCAACAATTTCCTCAGCTATATTTCACCTGTTTTAAAATGCAGTGATAACTTCTCCTGAACCCGAGACTCTTTTGTATCTATCAAGAGTCAATCTCGGAGGCTTGGGAGACGGCTCAGCAATTAACAGAGGGTACTGCTCTTGCAGAAGGCTGGAGTTCAGTTCCCAGCACCCATGTCAGACACAACCTCTTATAACTCCAGCTCTGTCCTCTGTGAGCCCCTGCACTCACATACACATACCCACACAGATACATACACATACGCATAATTAAAACTAAGTCTTAAAAAAAACACTCCTGGGCAACAAGCAGGGTCTCCCGGACTCAAAGACCTTGATTCAAACTCCAGCCCGACAACACTGTTCTCTGTGTCAAGCCATAGCAAGTGACACTTTTCAGAATCTAACACCCGGATAATTTTTTCTAATCCAAACATTACTTCAGCAGTGACTGAGGACACAGTAATTAAGAATTTCAGATGGGGCTGGAGAGATGGCTCAGTTGTTAAAAGCACTGACTGCTCTTGCAGAGGACAGGGGTTTGATTCCCAGCATCCACTTGGCAGGTAACAACCTTTTCTAACTCCAGTTTCAAGGGATCTGACACCCTCTTCTGACCTCCTTGGGCACTGCATGGGCATGGATTTGATCAAAACGCCTTATATGCATGCATGAAATTCTCAATAAATTATTTATTTAAAAAAATAGTAAAAATAAAATTTAAAAAGAATTTCACCTGATAAAGTGAATATTTATTTTTGAAGCCAGGTTTACAGAACTTGCCTTCACTCAAAGTCAAAATAGAGCAAAATGAGGTCTCAGCCCAAAACCAACGTTTGTTTTCAGGTTGGTAAAGGGGCCATCTATCTAGATTCGAATTACTCCCAAACAAACAGCTTCAGAGGCCACTCAGGTAAAGCTCTGTCCTGCCCTGCAGGGTAGCAACAGGAGCTGCCAGATAAGATAGGACTGAACCCAAAATCAAAGTGGGGGAAAAGGGGCTCTTTTGTCATCTAGACTCAGCCAGGTATTCCCAGAAAACCCTGGAGGATTTTACTGAAAGCACTTTGGAAATGTGCACCACATCAAAACACAACACAACCCCTACCACCACACCACCCTGAATGCCTTTAACTAGCAAGACTCTGGATTTGGGCACAAATCAACCAAAACAAAATACACACTGTGATCACAGCAGCTCTGAAACAGACAAAACTTGATGTGGTACATCCTCATTTTCCCAATCACCATTCTGTGTTGTATGAACTGATTTCCCCAAATAAGTCCTACTCAGATTGGGTTGAGGAGGACATACCTATTTCTCACTATAGTATTTGTAACTTTATTAAAAACAAAAGTCTGTATCCACTAAAAAGGAAAAGGAAAAAGCGTTCTAACTAAAGTATGTATCCCCAGATAGGATTAACAGAGGGGGTGCTTTAGTGGGGGAGATGGCCTTTCACACCTGATTCCCTTCCGTTTTATGAAGACCCCACCCCCTGAATCTTACAGCTCACCTTTTTTCAAAGAACTTAGCTAGCAAATAGCCTAAAGTTCCCTCCACCTTCCTTTAGAATGGGACTGGGGGGCACTCATTAACTCACTGACCCCAAGCAGAGTCATGAACACACACACACACACACACACACACACACACACACACACACACTTTAATCTCTACAATCTGCTAAACCCCACATCTATTAGTTAAGCATTAAAGGTTTTCCCCTGGAGAGATAAATGTCATGAATGACAGCATTGTTTCTTTAGAGCTGGCAATAGAAGGGGCTAAACTAACTGCAGATTTTTTTCCTGATGCTCTGCAGTCCCTAGAGCACTGATCCTCCCCAACAGAGAGCACAGCAGGGAGAATCAATATTGCAACATAAACATCCCTCCCTGGCCTCTATCTCTCCATCAAGAACTAGGGTCTTCAACTAGATCAAATCAATTGGTCCAGGGATATAATTTTGCATCCAATGAATATCGCCTCTCTTTGCAAAGATGAACTGAGAGCTATCATTTAAGAAAAATGGGAGAGGGGCTGGGGAGATGACTCAGTGGTTAAGAGCACTGGCTGCTCTTCCAGACGACCCAGGTTTGGGTTGCCACCACCCACATGGTGGCTAACAACATTTGGTAACTTCAGTTCCAATCCAATGCCCTTTTCTGGCCTCTAGTAGTTACATGCACACAGGCAAAACTCTTAAAACACATAAAATAATTCATTAATTTTAAAAATATGGGAGGGAAAGGGACTCCTCATCTGGACCCCAGTTGGGAAGCAATTGTTTATATTTCAGGAGTTCCCCCAGTAGAGAGACAAGGCAGGGTTCAAGAACTGAAGCACTGGGGGTAGGGGGAAGGGTAGTGGACTGAGCTCTGACTACATCCCCAGGCAATTTATTCAAGGCCAAAAGCTTTTATGCTGTGGAGCAAAACTGCAGTAGGGAGGGGCTGAGGAGCCCAAAGGAAAGAAGGCAAGAAGCTCAGAGACACTATGAGCAACAGGGTAGAAGAAAGAAGAGTCCTTGCCACTGTGGCCAGCACAAAGACTCGCCTCTTTAGAGAGGAACTATGCATGGTTGTGCTGAATCCTATAGGTTACAAGTGAAAATAAACATCATCTGCTATCCGTTTCCATTGGGATAGGAGAAGCGAGCTTACTGATTCACTCGGCATCCAAGTGCCAGGAACAGACCCTGTGTAAGGCAGGCAGCCCACAGCACACCTGGGAGTCAAGTGATGCTTACTTACTCCTATTGGACTAGCATGAGGTTTAAAGTTTGTTCTTTGAAAAGCTAAAGTGAGTTCATATTGAACGCTCCCTTTCCACATGGAAATTCAGGCAAGAGGCACTTTTCAAAAATGACTCAGTCTAACCCTGCTTACCCAATACAAAGAGGCACGCCACTTGGAACAGTTACAGATATAGAGAACAAATCTCAAGGGTGATGGAGCTCAGTGCTCAAATATGAGTCTGTAGGACAATGTGGGGGAACCAGGAAGTAAACTAAAAGTACCAGGAGGCCAGGAAAAGGACAGTGGACACCCTGGCCCTGATACTAGAATTTTCACCATTTATCACTGTAACTCTGCCAGGGCTGGGCACAGGAACCCAGGGCAGCAGGTGCCAGAGCTTTTGGCTGCTAGGACCCCCTAAGTCCCCTTCCTCCTTGAAAAAGGGGTTACTTCTCCTTAAGGGTGAACCATGACCAGCCTGCGGGGAGTACTGTGTCTATGGAAAGACCCTAGCTTGGCAGTCTGGAGCAATCCCCTGTCTGGGGCCATGCAGCCTCAAAAGTAAGTCAAGCCTTTAGATCTCACAGATCTAAGTTACACCTGAGATCTGCCTACACCTGGCCTGGCAAGAGTTCACACCCTCCAACTTCTAATTAGGACAAAGAGGTGTCCCTCCAGGTGTGGGGGTGTGGGGTGGGGGACCTTCCCTTTCCCCTTTGAGAAGACCTCTAAATCCAGGATGGATCTGTGTACCTGCTAAAGGTGGGGTCTTCATCACATCTCCCGCCCAGGGTGGGAGAGAATGAAGGGGTTCAGGAGAGGTGTGAGAGGGGTCGAGTGACAGCAGGATGCACGAGTGGCAGGGGTAGCTAGATGGAGACCAGAACCCACTGCAGCAAGATCCCCACCCCCAATCCCCTAGCCCACAGGTGGTGAGGGTAGCTCTAGGGGCTCAACTCTCTTCCATGTCCTCCCCAGAGCCCAGGAAAGAATGGAACTGAACGCAACCTCAAAGACTTCACTCCTGCCCCATGTCCCAGACACAGGGCTCACCCCTTCTGGCCTCTCCAACATCCTCAGCACCCCCTCAAAGAGAGCAGCCCCAACCACTCCCTGCACGGTGTCCGCCAGGCGGCGCCCTTCCAAAATCAAAAAGGCTGTGCGGGATAGCTTGGCGGGTACGTCTGTCCCGCGTCCCCGGCCCAACGAACCCGACCCCTGATCCTCCATCAGTGGGTGCGTAAAGACCCGCCGCGAGAGCCTAAGCGCGCGTTTGGCTGGACCAGGTTGGAAAGCCAGGCGGAGTGCTCGCGGGACAGTGCTCTCCGCAGGTCCTCCAGCCTCAGCAGGGATCCTGCACCCCCCCACCCCCTAGCTCGGCCGGTGCAGCCCCGGGACTCACCTTCTCCCCGGTGAGCACGTGCAGCCCCTCGCGCACCTTCGCGAAGGAGCCCTCGCCCAGTTTCCTGCTGCCGATGAGGTAGTTGCCCACGCGCTTGTGGTGCTGGAAGTCGCGGAGCCGCTCGCGGGACACGCCGCTCACCCAGGCAGGCAGGAAACTTCCCTCGCAGGCCGCCGCGGGCCTGGCCGCGTCCTCCGCTCCTCCATCTCCCCCGGGCGCCGCGGGCTCGCCCAGCAGCCCGTCCCCCGCTGCCGCCGGCATCGCGCCCGTCAGCGGCCCGCGAGGCTCCCGCGCTCGCCTCTGCTGCTGCTGCTCCTCCTCCTCCCGGGGCTGCGCGGGCTCCTCCCGCCGCCGCCCTGGACCCGGCTCCGCCCGACCCGGGTCTCCGCGCTCACGCCCCCCGCCGCACCGAGCGCAGACAATAGCGGCCGCCGGGGCGAGCGGGGACCCGCCCCCAAGAAGTTGGTCCTGGGAGGTTCGGACCCCCAGATCGCGTCCGCGGTCCCGTCCCGGGGCCTGCTCGGGTGCGCGGGAGGCTGCGCCGGCCCTTGAAGGGAGCGGTGGGGCCGCAGGGTCCCCGATCCTCAGCGGTGTGCCCCGGGGAGGCGCGCGTGGCGGGCTGCAGGCGCCCTCTGGAAGGCCGCAGAAGAAAGCCCCATTCAGTTTGAATTTGCGGAAATTTAATCCGCTCGCGGGCGGCGGGGACAGACTCGAGCTCCACTCGGCAGCCCGTGCACTTTCAAATCCCTTGTAGCCCCTCCTTCCTTCCCCGCGCGCAACAGCAAACTCGACCCTCGCCGGAGAGGGGAGGGAGCGGCGGAGTGGGCGGAGGAGCCACCTGAGCGCCAGACAGGGGCACCCTGCGCGGCCTCGCAGGCGCGCGCTCCCAGACCGCCCAAGGCGGCCGCCTTCCGTGGCGTGGATCGCGCTGGTTCTGGGCTTGAGCTTCCTAGACCTTTCAGGAGTGTATTCCCTCACCAGCCGCGCCCACCTGGGACGCCGGGAAGAGAGGGAACAGCTCTCGACCCACCACCCTCCCCTTAAACTGTGTAGGGGAATTGGGTGTCTAGCCCAGAGCCTGGCACACAGTAGATGCCCAGCTCAAACCTGGACCTTGGATGGATGGATGGATGGATGGATGGATGGATGGATGGATGGATGGATGGATGGATGGATGGATGGATGGATGGATGGATGGATGGATGGATGGAGACCCGGCTGTGTGCTGGGACTAACACGCAGACCCGGTTGCAGGGTTGGAAGACCAGCAGCTGTCGCGCACAGTTTCAGTAGCGGCAGCAGCGTAGGAACCAGGGCGTTTGCTGCCGGTGCGTGTACCTTTGCACCCTCTCAGCTTTCCACAGCTTAGATGCCAGCGGTGGCTGCAGGGTGAGCTGGACCGGCGCTTATGCTGCCTTTAGGATGCTTTTGTTCTGCGACCGCTGTGACTGTACTCTTCTTGCATAGACAATTATATCTGTTCTGAGATACCGACCCTCTCCAGGATCCCCAACAATCTTCCTGCACCGAAAATGAAGAATCCTCAGAGGGAAACTCGAAAGGGGAGGCGGGGAAGCCTTTCCAAAATGCTACCTGTTGAGGTGCCCGTGTCTAATGTAAATTTAACCTCTGCCCACACATCGTCTGAGCTCAAAGGGAGGATTCAGTCCTAACAAAGTTCCCTTCATTGTTTACCCCTCTGTAAACAGGTATGACATCATCGATCTACATCAGTGCTTTGAGATGGGGGCAGGATACAGCTGTCATTCAGCCAGTCTGGGGCCTGGGGCGGGGGTCGGCGGGGGACTCCCTGATCCGTCTGAAAAGTAACCCGAAAAATGCCAGGTTTCAAATTAAAAATGTTATTTTGAATATGCTATTGTGAAGCACTCATGCTTTCAAGTCTCCTGTGTGCTTGTTATGGCTGAGTCTGTTGTTTATCTTCTGCTCCTGGCTCACTGTTCTGCCTTTCCCAAATTAAAGACGAGATGTTTGCGTTTGTTTTCTTGCTATAAAAGCTCATCAAATGCGTTTGTGTTTCAAACTCAGTAATCACATTTTTTAAGAAGACTGTAGCATGGGAGAGAAACCAGGACCAACAGGTGCCAACAGAAGCACCAGTCAACAGGTGTTTGATATGTGGAGAAGATGGCACTCACTGGGGGTGAATCTTTCAAGGGGAAAGGTTTTTAAGTTTCCCAATGTTGCATTAATTTAATTTTAGGAAACTAGCTCTTTATGAAAGTTTAAAGATTTGTTATTGCAGTTTAAGGAAAGCCCCAGAGAATACTGTCAAAGTATCTTTGGGGGGTGGGACCACTTCACAAGTGGTGGAATATATTTATAATGAAATAGAGACTTTCTTTCCTTTTAATGCTTTAATTATCCTCCCAGAGTAGAGGTCAGGAAAGAGGTAGAGAGAAAATCGAGGCCCATTAAATCTTCAATCCTGCTGCCTGGATCTGATTCAAGTTCACTGCTAATTCCATCAACTGGGATGCATGCCAAAGAGAAGTTCAAATCCTACTCCTAACTGGGTGCAGTAACTGGTTTTTGAGCTATAGTCTGATCTCTGACATGGCCTTGCTTAGTAAGGAATGACTCCAAAAATTCCATTCCATAAGACAAATTAGCACACAAAACATCGTACCACCCTCACCCTAGGTGTACAGGAAATATCTGGTTGGGTAGCAGTCACCCATCCTTAAAGATTCTCTACTATCCCCCCCCCAAACTTGTAGGGTTCCTCTGGGTACTACAAGTAAGCTATCTTCTCCTTTCGCTTTCTTAACTCCACACATTCACCTATGTCATGATCACTTCCAAACTGCTAGTTCCAACCTCTTTTCACCTAGCCTAAGTGTTGCCTATCAGGGGAAGTCTTTCCCAACCAATGAGCTACAAGAATCTACTGACCCTCCCCCTTCCCTGCCCCCTCCACATTCTTCTCACTACATGGTATTTGACTTTACATTCATTCCTCATTCCTCTTTTGTCTTGCATGGTACTTGTTAGGGTTGTTCGCCTGTTTTAGAATCAGTGATGACAGGTGTCCATGTCTGGTTTTATTTTTATTTGTCCTATAGTGCCTAGTAGTGTCTGAGCAGCAGACCCGGTTAGCAAATATTGTTAACTGAATAAATGAAGGTAATCAGTCATTGATTCTCAAGTGAAGTCTTCTTGCTTTAGGACAACAAGACCCCATCTGCCCTTAGGGAGACCTTACTAATGACTTTGTGAACACAGTTTTAATTACATTGTTTGTTGCCTTTGGAGAATAGACAGATTTAATCATTTGTCAAAGAAGGGCCATTCTCAAACTTGGATGAGTTAACTCTTTCAAGAGTGTCGCCAGTCACAAGTGGGCAGGAGAGCTTGGAAAAGCTGTTTCAGTTGACTTGGTCCAGCTGCTTCTTCTTTCCCTTCCCTTTCTCGTCCTTCCATATGGCAGAGAGACTGTGTGCTCCCACAGAACACCAGCTATGAGACCCCACTGGAAGCAGTCAGAGACAATTAGAAATAATCAGCCTGGCACAGCCAGGAAATGAGAGTTGGCCAGAAGGGGTTAGGCTGGCAAGGGCGACCTGGGAGCTGGAGAAGAAAGCAAAGAAATGGCAGGGGGCACGAAGCAGCTGGCTGGAAGACTTCCTAAGAACTCCTGCCTTCATTCTCCCCGAGCAAAGCATCCAGTAAACAACAGACTCTGGACTTGAACCATGTCCCCAGAAGTCCATGGCCTCCATGATTCCTGTCACACACCCAGTTGTTAGATATGCTCAGTGCAAACACTGAGGAAGAAGGGGTTCCTCAGTCATAAAGTCTGGTGTACACAGGTAGCCTAGTATATTGGGGAACACGCTGTCACTCAACCCCACAATGATGATTTCTCAAAACTGAATAGTGACAACTCACCTCCCTGGGCCTCAGCAACCTTAACATGTAAGACAGCATGTGACTCAGTCCCTGGCATGTTACAAACTTGTACATTTTAGCTCACTCCTTCCCTAAGTGTTACCACAACCCCAAGAGAAGTCAGTCAAGAAGGCCCAGCCAGTTCACAAAAAAACCGTCCTTGTTATCAATGAATCACAAGCCTGACCTCCAGGTTGGACCCCATTCCTAAATGGCATGTCCTATGGCCAATCTTTTTCCATCTCACTAGACTGTCTAGTGGGGTGTCACACTGCATCTGGGGCCAGTATTCATACGTGCTGCTCCTATATCTTTTCCTAGGCTTCTTCCAAGTTCACTCAAATATTGAGAGGCAGTCTTTTGCATCTTGGCCTTCCTAGCCCTCATATCTAATCCATCAGATAATCCTTTAGTCTCTGCTTTAAACCCTGACCCATCTGTGACCACTTATGGCTTTCACCTCTATTACTTTAATTGAGCCGCCATCCTCTCTCCCTAGCTGGGGTCCCTTGCTTCTACCCCAAGCCAAAACTGTCTCTTTAAGATGAAACTCCAGTGCCGGAGAGATGACTCAGTGATTAAGAGCACTTGCTGCTCTTCTAGAGGACCAGGGGTTCAATTCCCAGTACCCACACTGGGCAGATCTGACACCCTCTTGTGACCTCTGTGGGCATGTGCACAATCATAGTGCACATACAAAACAAGCAGGCATACACACATACACATAAATCTTTTTTTAATATTTTATTTATTACTTTTATTTTATGTGTATGAGTGTATTGCCTGTATGTATGTGAGTGCACCTGTGTCGTGCAATGCCATGGTGGTCAGAAGAGGGCATCAGATTCCCCTGGAACTGGAGTTAAGGAGGGTTCGTAGCTGCCATGTGGATGCTGGGAACCGAACCTGGGTTCTCTGCAAGGGCAGTCAGTGCTCTTAACCACTGTGCCATCTCTCCAGCCCCATAAATTTTTTTTTTGATGGGACTCAGCTCATATCACTTCCTGCTCCCTACACTGTTCAGGGAACTCTCAGAAAGGATGCCTCAGATGCCTCATCCTGGTGGCCCCTCCTTCTTCCCATGCCAGCCATCCCACCTGTTCCTCCAGCAACATACCAAGTACTACCCTCCTTCAGAGCCTTTGACCTCGCTTTTCCCTCTACATCTCAGTCAGCTACAGTTTCAATTACAAACCACCTGGGGTGGGTGGCTCAAACAAATATTTTTTTCTTGTAGTTCCAATGATTGGGAAATCCAAGACTTAGGCACCAAGAGAGAGATTTACCATGATAAACTGACATGCTCCATAATGGAAACTGAGAAGTCTGAGATCAAAGTACCAGCTGATTCAGCTCCTGGTGAGGACTGCCTCCTCACCACATCCTTACCTAATACATTGAGGGGTCCCACGTTGGCCTCTTTTTAGTAGGTCACTAATTCATTCTTGAAGGCCCCACCCTCATGACCTCAACTAAACCTAATCACTGCTCAAAGAGCTCATCTCCAAATACTATCACATGAAGGGGAGTAAAAGCTTCAGCATATGAACTTGGAGTAGAGGAATAGAAATATTTGGTCCATAACATTGGCAGCAACACATCTCTACACCTTCCGAAGTTCCTTGCCTTATTCAGGGCTCTGCTCTCTCAAACAGAAATTGGCAGGCTATTTCAGTTTCTTACTGACTACTCTGTCCCCAGCCCCTTCTCAATTTTCTTCATTGTTTTTCATTATTCACTAACAGAAAAGTACTCACCACTGCCCCTGTGTTCCCTGTCTGTCCCTGTGGAATATAAGGTCCATGAAGCCAGGAAGTGCCCTGCCCACCCATGTCTTCCTGGCATGTTGCAGATGCCCAGCAATCTGGAGCTTCATCTCATCTTGACAGCTTGATCTATCTGTATAGGAGAGGAGGGTAGCTCTGGGCTTTGGACGGATATGGCACCTAAAATGTGATGGGATGTAGATAGTGATACACTACCCTCCCCCCGCCATGCCACATCACAACTGCTTCTCCTGACATTCTAGAAAAAAAAAGTGCATTCTTAACCTAAGATGCTAGTGTTTGCCTTCAAGGAAACCTGCACTCTTACCATGCTTGTGCCTGCCTCAGGAAGGAAAGTATATCCTCCACCTCTACTAGCAGGGGATGAAGGACCTTAGGACTCTGAATTCCAG